GACGAGTTCCAATTCGGGTCTAACCTTGCAAGACCTTGGAAGTTGATGGTGGTCGGCCACCCTTGGCTGATCCCGTGAGGAATTACCTGGCGCTCTGCCTCATGAAGTCCGCAAAAAGATGCCGTTTGAGGGAACTAATAAAACGAAAACCGAAGACAATGTCAAAACATGTGTAATAATGTTACAGAGGGTTTTCACTTACCAGACGGGACCTTGATCTGGGGCTGCTCATCCCCTTCTTTATGTTGGGTATAGCAAGCAGTTCGGCCTTCAAAGCAAGAAGTTTATGTGATGGATTTGCAGGCATTTCTTCATCACAAAACGGACAAAGGGTTTTGCTTGGATCTGTTTCGGACCTAATACTATCATCACTTTCATCTTCTTCAGCAAAGAGTAAAAATGGTGATTTGTTGTCCTTGTTCAAATCAATAGGAGTCTTTGCCAATATAGAGAGATCGGATTCCATCATGAGAGATAGATCTGATCGTCTACTTGAGAAAGGGAATGGGGGATGACTTGGCATTTGTTGGCCCGATGTCCTGGTTGGCGGCTTTTGCTGCACTTGTAGACTTTGGTGGTGGCGATTGGGTTAGATGATGGAGTTGGAATAGATGATTGAGACGTCCCTATCGGGATTGATGTGTCAGAAGGCGCTTTGATCGGAATCGATGAGGTAGAGGGGAGCGCCTCAGGGTTGGAATCGTGTGCAGAGACCCCTTGATCGTCAGAGTCTTCATCTAGCATGGCCTCATCTCGAGTGAGTGCTTCTTCAAGGCGTTGTCGTTTTGCTTTTGCTTTTTTCTTTTGTTTGGTTTCTTCAACTTCATATGATGATTTCCATCGACCATTCTTAGAGACAGCTGGTTGTTTTTGACTCCCGGTGCGTGGCCGACCTCGATTGTTGTGCTTGACTTCAGGTGGTAATTTAGGAACTAATGAGTACCTACCTGTTTTCATTAGATCGACTTCCTCATAAAGCTTCCGGAGGGAATGTTCTGGTAGAGTCAATAAGGCTTGGAATTTCGAACGTGCGGCATCTTGAAGGGCTTGTTGAGATTGGGGTGCGATGTCCATCACAAGGCGCCATTGATCATGCACTAGGGTCAGGGATAGCGTTTCGGATACTTCGCGTTCAGCAGCGATATCGTGACTACATGGTATACCCCACGCCGTTCGGAAAGTGTTAGTGCAAGGTCGGTCTGGTTTCTGTTGAGACTGAGGGATCAAATCGTACTGTTTTGCTATGTGCTTGATAGCAAAGTGTGATATCACACCGTGAAGGTCCTTAAGGAAAGTTGGTATGTCTTGAAGCGTCTTGCCCTTCTCAATTCCAAAAGATACCATTATTTCATTGTACTGATGTTCACCATGTCGCTTGAAAGCATTAAAACAACTTAAAAAATCGTTGTTTGGACCTTCTAGAAAGTCTTTCAACCCAAAATGGCCACCTTTGACCCGGGACGTAGAGGAATTGCCGAAGTGGGGTGTTGACGATGTAAAAAGAGATACGAACTTGTTAGTTCGATGAAGCCAAGTGCGCTCCAAGTAATCGAGTACATTGTTTTTTTTGGCGATGACCGTGAGAGCTTTCAAGTTTAGATCATAATCTTCAGGAGTCGTTGACCCAGTAAACTGATTCCAAAGTTTCATAAATTCTTCCCATTCTTCGTTTGTGCCAAAATTCTTCTTACAATTCTTGCCTATGTTCTCATTGATGTGCCAGATGCATAATATATGTACAGAATCTGGAAAGATCGTGTTGATTGCATTAAATAGGGCGGGTTCGGCGTCGGTGGCAAACGTTCAAGGCAGGCTGACTGTGGTATCGGTGTCAAACACAATCAATTTCAGCTGTTGTAAAGCCCACTCGTAAGCATCTTCTGTTTCGCTGTGCATGAAACAAAGAGCTGCAGTGAAAGATTTGTGGGCATGGGTGGTACCAACGATGTGGAGTAGCGGTAAGTTGAAGTGGTTAGTTTTATAGGTGCAGTCGATGCCTAACACAGTAGGAAAACGTCGTGCGAGCTGAATGGCCTCCGGGCTGGCAAAGAAAAATGACTGAAGGGTACCGTGGTCGGAAGTAACAGTCCGGAAAGCCCATTTGAGTTCGGTCACTAAATCCAACAGGCCTTGAATCGGTGTTCTTCCATTGAGCCACGATCTCTTGTGACGAGCCCGGGCGTTGTAGATGTCGCGCACAAGGACGTCGGCACCGGTGTCCACTTTCAGAAGTGGCCGAATGTTTCGAGGTTGAACACCGGCTGAACTGAGAAGTTGAATCGTCTTGTCGTTTTCCGAATTGATTTGTCGATATCGACTTTCTTCATGCAGGTGTTCGAAAGGAGGATGATTGTGAACGGCTTTCAGGGGGTTTTTGACGGCATCCGAGGTGACAAACCATCGTCCTTTGGATGCGTGATAATTGAGTGAGACCTCAAAGGTACATCTGGTCTTCTTTGAAGATGATGCCCGCTTCTCCTTATGATCATCAGCGTTCTTGTGATTATCCTCATCGTCTGTTGATTTGGTTTTCTTTTTGGGTTTTGCTGCGCGGGAGCACTCTAGATAGATTCGTGCGGTCTCTCCATGTGGGTCGAGCTTGTGACTCTTGATTGATAAAACGTATCCTTGATACCTTGCGACAGCGTTGAGATACATTATACCAGACTCCCTTGCAAAGAATTGCTTGCCGATTCTTGGTGATTGCATTAATCGTACTGGAGCTACTCCTTTTTTGAGTTGATGAGTAATCGGATCAAATGAATGAGTATCATACATGCTGAATTACAAATGACATCGGAACTGGACTTACCAATAGGAGGCCATTCTTCGTCTCGCTTGTCATCAGCCAAATCAAAGTCTTGTAAGATGCTACCGTTATTCAAATCAGGTGGCCCTTCATTTGTAACAACACTATTGCTATCACTCGTGGTACTAGTAGTATTCAAGTGAGAAGAAGGAGGGTTCGGATTGTTGTTAACACGTGTCAAGTGTGTAGGAAGTGAAAGCATATCGGTTGAGTTTGATACCGCTTGAGCTTGACGACTTGACAAATCTAGATGCTGAGAATGTGTTTGTGACACAGTGGGTGGAAAAGATGTTGTTCCGGGGGGATTCGAAAACACAAACTGGCTTGAAGGTGCGTATGGATAGCCAGGAGTCCAGACAAGATGGGGTTGAGCCAAAGGTCCAGCTACATAATTGGTTTGAGACGGGATATAGACGTGGTGGTGGATAACGGATTGGTTAGGTAATGTCATCGGTAGTGTTGAGGTGGGTTGTGGCATAGAATGAGCAAGACTTGAGTTCAGCAAAGCTTTGGGTCGGTCATCGTTTGAAGGCTGTCCTTTTCGGTTTCGCTTCATCAGATAGATGCTGAACGCCGAGGGTTTGTTGTTGCAGTTTGGAAAGGGGAAAGTCCAGATGAAATAGAGTGTTGGGGACGGCTGAGGTACAATAAGAAGATATGATAAGGTGATTCAATAAGAAGGTACGATGGGGTAAGTATTGAGTTGAGGAAGTGAAAGAGAAAGAAAGGTTGCTTACCATTGTAAGCAACATCATCTTCATGCAAATCCCAGTGAATGCACGTTTGTTTCCCTGGGCCGTTCGATCGGGTGATGGATGTGATGATGATGAGATGAAGTTGAATGAAGTGCCAACGGATGGTGAGGTATCGCCAATCGGTATGTGGGGTAACATTCATATGAGGGCTAAGTAGCCCGTACCCTAAGCCCGCTCTGGAGGTGAAAAGCCCCAATGGGCTGTAGATAGCCATCCAGCCCTCATTATCAGCCCGCGTGCAGCCCGTCGGGGCCGTGTTTGGCGTGGAAATGTTCGGGTACTCTCGGGTACCATCGGGTAATACCCCAAAAAGAGGGGGCTTTGGGTTTTTTTTTCCGGGCGGTAAATAGTGGTTTCCTTAGCTATACATGGAAGTCACTATAAGTTTTTGCAACATTTTCTGAACATTACTTACACTTTGCAGTCTGCCTTCACGCTTTCGGACTACTGTCACTGACGCCATTATGATGACCAGTTACTAGAGCCAGATGGGCAATTCTGTAGAGGATCCCTCGTGGATATGTATTTATCGACACCTTGATAATCGGTGATATAATTATGTACCTGTGCGCAAGCAACATCGTTATGAGATAGGCATCCGGGATACTTTGAAGCGCGTATCAATTCCGGTCAGATGATTGACATCATAGATATCTAGGATAGGCTAGAATAATAAGCTGTTGCTTGGTCTCGCGCAACATTGCTTTCATCTTAGGCTTAGGTTCATCTCCGCTTGCAGAAGCGGCCGGACAAGCTCATGCTGTTAACTTAATCAAGTCCCCCTCCGGATAACAAACGAGCTTGTTGGTGACATCAGGTCGATCAGCATCATGTTGAGGATGCTCCAGCAATATTGTAAGAGAGCTGATCAGTTTGGACGCATGTTATTGCCTCATGTCGGCTTGGGTGACTTTTGTTTGCTTCAAGATTCAACGCGTGGGTATATCTTGATCACATTTGAGTCTGGCTCTGGGAATAGCTGCGGCCTGTCTGGTCTCACCGTTCTCCTATATATACTGCCACTAATATTTTTTACCTTATCGCTTCGTCACTCTTCCTACTTCGAGTGAAAACATCCTTCTACATCTTGAAATGCTTTCATCCATGACATCTACTTTCAACCCTAGAAATATCACAATCAATCTCTCTCAAGGAAGTATTGTAGGCACGCATATTATTTCGGCGGTGGCTAAGGTCAAGGTGTCATCGCCATCAATAGCATTTACTTTACTTTTTTTTCAATGCGCTTTACTTCATCCGTCTTTTGCTCATTCTGGCCTGTTTCGTATGATACGGATCAGTCTGACACCAATCAACTTCCTTACCATGCTTAGTTTAAACTTTCAATGCATTTCCAGACCTGTCGAACCCTCTGATATGATGAAAGATATGGTTAAAATGCAGTTCTTGTGGCTCATGGCTGTCAAGTCATTAGAATGGGGTTTTGCAAAAGGATCTTATTATACGAGGAGCCTAGTGAAAGTAAATGGCGTGGAACGATGAGAAAAAGTTGAAGGAAGTGACGAAGCTTATAAAAAGTTGCAAGAAGCTGAACCCTGCAACGTGTTTAAATTGGCGAGTTGGACATTATTACAAGTTACTTCGTAAGCTTATTACCATACGTCATAACATGTCTTTGATCGCTGATAGCCTAAACATTTGAGCACACACACAGGTTCCGAGGCCTTCAGTTTACGTACGGTCCTGCCATTGCTGCGAACAACCAAAGCACTTTTGAGTTGCTTTGGAGGATGTTTCGAGTCAACACTTGTCTTACTGTCGCCCTTAGTGTTCTCATCCTGACTCGCGACGCCATCCTTGGTACCCCGAAATCAGCTCTCCTGTCATTGGGGGTTCCAAATTTTCCTGGCTTAAACCTCTTGTCAGAGACTCTTTACACCGCTTGCTTTGGTATATGGGTAGCATGCTCAGCAGATAACATGTTTAACTCTCTCACCCTTTTGGCTACATGTGCTCACAAGATAGCGATAGTATTGAATTGTCCTCAAGATATACTAGAGCTTTGTGATCCGAGATACTTTCCATCGGCCTTCGATTCGCCGCATAAATCTAATTCAATCGCTCACTTTTGGGCGAAAGGTTGGCATACATTATTACAAAGGATATTTTTAATCAGCGGTGGATTGCCCATTGCCTGGCTAGTGAGGAGATTCGGAGCAAGTCATCGAATTGTGAGATTAGCCGGAATGATTGGTGTGTTTGCTTCTTCGGCAATACTCCATGAATACGGTAAGTCTGATCATCAACACTTTACCTACAAACTCTTGGAATTTACTTAAAAGTTTCTTTTCTCTTGGATTTATAGGAGCACTTCGAACTGCTCAGGTCCTGGATCCTAACCTAGACCTTTCAACTTGGTTTCCCGGATCAATTATTTTTTTCATGCTCCAACCTTTAGCTATCTTGGTCGAGCCTTTTGTGATACCACTTATCCCCAAAATATTGGGAGGTGGACGACTCTGGGTGTGGACTTTTGGTCTTCTTGCAGCTTTTCCTTTTCGCAATCAATATTTGGTTGGAATGAGAGCTCACCGCGATGTACCTCCACTTAAAAAGTGGTCAATGATTTACATGTTAATGCCTGTCAAATTGTGATGCACCTATGACTTTGATATCTTTCTCTTGCACATATCTGTTTGAATATGATGTTATTTTCGTGTATTTATATTCAACCCTCATTGCAGCAATATTTTATGTTATGATATTTGAATTCCAAAAACGCAACTTCATAAAGACTTTTTAGTTAAAATGAGAATATTGTCGAAACAACATATCATAGATATTATTAAGAAAACACCAGTACCTTTATGAAGTTCTACACAGATAATGTTCTCTGAAAGAGTGTAAGGAGTTTGTTAAGGTGCTCTTAAGTCTGTAAATAACGTGATAATTGGAACAAAGTACTAATGAGAAATAAAATACAAAAATAATAGATTGAAATGAGATTTTTACACTTACAGTAAGTGTTGCCCATGAAACTTCTTTACCTTTGGCATTACTCCTTTGAGGGTTTTTGGCTTGCTAAGGTTGGACTTGGAATTGGGTTGTGCACTTCTTTGGTTGAGGGGCTAGAGATTTTGTTGGGGTATGAGGGTCCCCAAGTCCAGATAAACTTGATGAGAGAGTTAAGAACACACATTGAGAGTAAATCAAATAATAGAATAGAAAACACAATAATCATCACGCAGGATGTGCAGAACACGACAGTAACCATATAAACAATACCAATAAGAACTATCAAACATTACATATTATTTGAAATACTTTTAACACACCAACACTTCCACACTACATTGTAGGCCGTATCTCTCTGGAGTGCAATTTGTGTGCTGACAGGGGACATAGACTGTGAGCACATTGCATACACCATAAAGACACCTTTTTGCAGGAGGATGTCCCAACCGTCCTACATTGAGAAATTGGGCTGGCGTCCCAAGTCGGGATCTCATTGAGATGACCCCGAGCTGGGACGTCCTTACTTTATCCTCTGGATGCCATGGCAGTGTCCTCAGTCCAAGCACATCTTGGAATGCTCTGTGATGGTGTCTGAGGGGGATACCTGGTGGACGCCTTGCAGGAGACTGTGTCAGGATGTCTTTCCCTCTGCAAAAAAGAGGACATCCTGAATGTATCCAAGTGTCCTTGTGGTGTACTAAAATAAGCTTATCAATCTGAGATCTTTTACAGTTGATTAGTTTGTTGTCAAATGCAAATCAATATGGAAGTTGAACCACATATGTAGAGAGTCACTCAAAATAGTTACTCTGACACCGCGGGAATTAAATAGTTCAAACCCGGATTGAACCGAGTTTTGGTGTCCGGGTTTGAAATTTCCTCGAATTGTGAAATTCATTCACGACTCGTTTGCAATACGTTTGCCGAATTCCCTCGAGCGGTACTCTGCTCGGCCTGTACAACAACAACGCCCTTCAGCATCAGTCACCAAGGATTCACCAATTGTACAGAGAATCAAGAATAAGATTCAAGACTGAGGATGCATGACAAAGGAAAGATGATTGAATGGTTGGAATCAGGGTTGTTGTTGTATGATGAAGCTGTACATACACACGCGGGGCCAACAGAGTACCGCTCAAGGGAAACCGGCAAACCTATTGCAAACGAGTTGTGAACGAATTTCACGATTCGAGGAAATTTTGAACCCGGACACCGAAACTCGGTTCAATCCGGGTTTGAACTATTTAATTCCCGCGGTGTGAGTGTATTCTGAGTTTTCTTGGTTGAAATATGGCAACCTCTGCTATCCAGTACCAAAGCTACCAAGTGTTATGGATTTCAGAGGTTGGACTGTAACTGTGAAACTCAAAAGGCTACTTCTCTAAATGGTAAGAATTTATGGCAACTGAAAAAGTCATTGACCAAAGATAATAAAGATAACGTGAACCTTCACAAGAAGCCAATTTCTCTGACTATTGGACATTATCATACTTGAAGATAGAGAGTTACTAATCTGATCCAAGCAGTTTGAGTTTGCTTTATACAATTGGGTGACATTGTTTTTCTCTTGGTGTTCAACAGAAGACTGATGGGATGAAGACTTGGATCTGTCAAGTCAAAAGACAAAGTAAACTAAAAATCTCAGGTAATTTGTTGATGAATACCACACAGCCTGTATTCCGCACAGACTAGAAGAATGGTGATAATGATGTATGCTAGTATTGGCAAATTGAAGTGTCCGTGTTCTAGGAACATATATAACATGAAGGTGCCCCTAGTGACATGGCACATACAAGATATCAGTTTATAAGAGAAAGACAAGACATATTGCAGTGAAGTGGAGACAATGAATGAAAAACACAGTGATGGGAAAGTGTATGTATGTCTTAGAGTAAACCACCAGCACCAACAAGACCATGAGCACTGAAGAGAGCTGTGACATCTAGACTCAAAAGAACATGAATGTTGATACCAACAGCTGAAAACAGGTTGAGATCAATACCAATGCTGGCTAACAAGCTAGAAACATCGATGTGCAGAGACACAAGAATTCCTGTAACAATCCGGAGACAGGAGTAGAGGATGTTGAAGTCCGCTGATGGAGAGGAAACAAACTACATCAGTACCAAGTAAGAGTAGCAGGATGGGGTTAATCACTGACGTTGACATTGGGGGATATAGCTACTGTAGCTCTGGGTGATGATTGTGATCATGGTTTGGAATTGTTGGAAGACTGGTGTGATGGCTGATGTGAACTGTTTAAAGAAATGACACGGGTGAATATTGCTCAGTTTAAGTGCAAACTACATGCAAAAAGAAAGAGTTCAAACTGACTTGGTCGGCATTTGATGTTTGGCAGACATTACAGCCACCAGCATTGGAAAATTGAGTGACCATAGCTTGAAATTGAATAACCATGGTATGAATCTCATAGGATATTTGTTGGAATTGAATTCCACCTGATCCCCATTGAGAGAATGTGTTAGCACAAATTGTACCAAAGCTTTGAAAGCTTTGGGTGACTTGTGTAAAGCTGGTATACTGTTGCTTTCCAAATACGTAGCCACCTCCCCAGGTAGCTTGACCGACTGGGGCTAATCCTTGAGAAGAGCCACAACCTGCGAAGCACTTTTCCTCTACAGCACTTTTCACTTTACTGTTCGATTTAAAGAAAACCATTAGCCAATTGATTTGAGAAAATCATAAGAGGAAACACTGTACTGACGTGTTTTGCTCGATGGGCGAAGCAGCGGCAAATGCTAAGCGAGAGAAAAATAAAGAAAACAACTATCAAAACAAAGCTAAGGATGTGATAGCATTCTAAAAAACACAGGACTTACCAGCGAGAGCAGCAACGAAAAAGCTAAGCGTGAATTGCATGATGAAGATATTGATTCGGTTTATCAGAAAAAGTAATTGAAGTTTGTGTGTTTTGAATATTACGAGTGAAGATATGAACAGGTTTGAACAAGCGGGTGAGATGATTAGAATGAGGAACAAAGAATGCACCCAGAGGATGACCTTTAATACCCGATGAGCGTGCCTCTCTACTCATTTCAGCTCAGCGTGATTTCAGATAATTCAACGTGTCCATTTCGCATTGGAAATATGGTCGGATTGGTAAGCCGCAGGATGGTCATCAATATCCCGATCGATATAGTTTCTGCCAGTTGGGTGACTCATTTGATTTGGTTTCTATGAAAAGCTTTTCCAATCTTCACTCATTCCAAACGATCCGAGTCCCGAGGTGGCAGAGACTGAATTGCAGAGCTGGTAAAAAGTTCGAAAGTTAAACGCCTTCAGCATTCCGCACTTCTAACCGAACTCTCTCATTCTTTTATCGATTGATATAATATCCTGCCGTACATTCTGGTATTCACTTCATGAAACCTTCAATTGCACCAGATGTGACTGAAGTTGAACAAAACATTTGGTTTGGTTTTATAAAAACCTCTTCCGTACTTGTTCCATTTCAAAAAGCAAAATCGGGACTTCCGTATACACTACGAAGTTTGGATGGTGGAGTTGTAGGCTAGGGTTTGCGGAGCTGGTACAGAGCCAATGGAGCTTTCGTGATCGTGTCAGTCGCTCGATCTATGTATTTTCATAACCTCTTCCTTTCTCATACTCACATCTGACCTCTTGTCCAACATATCCAATTATAAAAATTACATGCAATCAAAAGCTTGGCTGCTGGTCCGAGACACTGATTTATTCAAGATTCCATTCCTTGTACATAGCATTGCATATATGTAACATTATTCCAATACCGTGAAGCCTTGAACATTGATGCTTTATTTTCCACATTAAAACACGTGGAGACTGTCCACACAACATCAGGAGAACGACGTTTTGGGCAAAGGCCAATCGGATCTCATTTGCTGCTTCAGACGGATAGAATTTAGAAGTGCCTTCGAACAATTGAGCCAGATGACGAGACGTTCATTCAGTAGACCGCTCAATCCGTTTTTATGTGCACAATTCTCTATAAAATTTCACTCCAAGTCTACACGAGCCAAAAAATACTCTTTACAAATGTTATCTTCCAATCCCATGAATAACGATTAAAATCAAATTTCTATCCCCCTTTGATCTTGAATATTAATTATGAAACAATAAAATAATAGAAGAGATTTTTTTTCAAAGAAAAAACCTCCAAAGAAATTCAGATGAAATTCAAATAAACCCTTCAATTAATAGGTTCAGTTTTGATTCGTTTTTTTGCATGAATCCCACTACTTGAAGATTGATTATTTGAACCAATTGATCCTTTCTCGATTCCTGAATCATGTTTAAGGTCGTCTATGTTTGATATCCACATTTCGGATGATTCGGGTCTGAAGAATGACCCCCAAGTCAATTTATGTCCATGGTTATATGGTTTAGTTCTGAAGCTCACCCTAGTTCATGTTTCATAATTGAATCTAAATAGAAATCTTTTTGTCTTTTGATAGATCCTTCTTTATGCTCAAGAGCCTATATAAATTTGACAAGTGAGTTCGCAACAAACTGTCAGTTTCGTGAAATCAAAATATAGGCAATGAATGGTGAAAAGGTTTCGTTTCAATAGAAATCACTAACCTTCAATTCCACTTCCAAAATCTCTTTTTCACCCAACAAAAACTTAAATTTAGCTCTTAAAATTAATAATTCTAAAAAAGCTGGATCAGTCGGAGGATATTTAATTTTAAGATCTTCTAGAACTTTTCTTTCTTCTGATGTTCTACCTTCTTCATCTATTTCTTCGTTCTCTAATTTAGAATCCATTTTCATGATTTTTAATAAATCTTCTTTTTCTTCTTCACCTTCTCCTATTGATTTTCCAATGATTTCTCCATTACCTTCTATTCCAGTTTCATCATAATTATCAACTTCTTCTCCTTCTGAATCTTCTCCTTTTATTTTTTTCATCGCATTTCCAGGTGCAGAAGTTTTACGTCCAGGAGGTAAGGGTTCACCATGGGATACTCGAACGTGTTTAGCTAACGCATCAGTTCTAGAAAACGTTTTGTCGCATTCTAAATTAAAAGACTTCGTTAATCACAATTCGTATAGAAAAACTGAGTGATTTTAGACTGACCAGGTTTATGACAACAAAATGGTTTTTCACCCGTATGAGATCGAAGATGAACAAGTAAAGCCATTCTACTGCCTTGTGGTTTACCAGCCTTTGGACAACCAGTCCATTCACAAGGACATTTTTGACCTCTGGGTGCGTTCGGGTCAACAGGTACATGACCTACGTAAAAAAATTCAAAAACTCGATCAATATCTGTGTGGAAAAGATGTTTTTTCAATGATCAAAGATGTAAAAATCTATTAACCTTTTTCACCGACTAGATGTTCTAATAAATCTTCTAAAATCCAAAAAGCTTGTCTACAATTCCTCCAACCACATCTAATCATTGGAAAGTCTTCTTCATTCTCGATTGAGTCTTCATCAATTTCCATTAAATTTGAATTTGAATTGATTTTAGATTGTTGATTTGATGATGGGGTTCCTAATATTGAATTTGTAGTTGTGGATTTTCTCTTTTTTCCTGATCCTGTTATCAAATTTGATGATTGATTTAAAGTTGTTGGTGGTGGTGGGGTCATTGTCGATCTTGGTAATATTTGTTCTTTTGATAGAGAAGATGATGCTGATTTTTTTGGTTTCTTTACAGGTCTTGATGATGATGATGGTATTGAAGTTGTAGTTTCAGTGATTTGACCTTTTTCATTGTTTGATTCTATGTTAGTGTGGTTTGGATTAGTTCGATTCGATTGATGATCTAATCGATCTGGTTTGTCAACTCGATTTGGAAGTTTGATGGAAGAGGAAGATATAGCTGAAGACATTTCCCCTTTGAAACTGTTTCCTTCGATATATCAAGCGGATGTGTTTGTTTATCTTGTCGTTGGATTGTGTGAGGTTGTGTGTTGGTGAGGAGCTCGTTTGATGACGAAGGGAAAGGAGAATCGACTTGAGGAAATCTGTTTAAACCCATAGAAACTGAGCATACATTCAACTTTCAAGCTTACTCTAAACCCATGATCACGGCTTCGAAGCACTTTGTAAACTTTGACAGAAGGCCACGGAGCTGGAGGCCAGGAGGCACCGTAAGGTCAAGGGACTCAAGGGTAGCGGTCTGTAGCGGTGGATCTTCGAGGAAGGAATTTCCAAAAACAGTGACAATATTCCCGTATTGCCATTGTTGCATTTTCCTTTTATCGAATTGTTCTAGGGTCACGTAGTGTGTAATGTCGTAGTAATTGCACTTGAAAAATAGTCTACTCACTGATCTCAAGCTCAATCATGTTCTTGTCTCTCTCACTCATTGCATTCCAGAGGTTAAAAATTAGAGTTTCAGAAGAACAGTTTCAGAAAACAAGATGCAAAACACAATAGATAAAGAAAGCCAAACATTGTGCAAGTAGATTATCAAGAAGAAATGGGAGTGGGAATAGATAAGGTGAAGGACCGGGTGGCAAGGAGATGCAATATCAAGGTTTGGATGGAGCACCTATGGGTGACAACAGCAGTACACAAGGTACAACACAAATTCTTGATCAGAACCACCATATCATGGGTGGTTTGACTGTCCATGAGGGACTTGCGCACAACCTGTGAAAGGTGACCTGTGGAAGGTACATAACCATAATACCAGCATATTTTCAGACTGGGCAAACCTTTTCACCACACCACTTGCTTGTCTCATCAACTCCCTCAGCAAGTATCCCTCAGGGAAGATCACACCACTATCAAGCAGTGTGAAGGCTCAATTTTTACACTGCAACCTGCCCCCTATGTGCAAAAATCATGTCCCACCCCCAACACAATGGACAACCCCAGCCAAGGCATCTTGGTTCACAAGGACCAACCAATCCCTGAGCCAAGGTGCTTTACTACCCCAATCTGTGTACTCTTGAGTAAGGGGTACACTTCTGGGGGGACATTCACAAACACCCCAAGAACAAATCTGAGTCCCAAAATCTTGGGACCAGATCAGAAATGCAACTACAGCTACTTGTAGCAAGTGTAGAATGGACCCCAGAACCCGCAAGCCCAGCCAACAACCATCCGGCCAACATGGGACTAGTCAACAAACAACCCACCAGCAACCAAGAGGCCAAATCCAAAACATGGCGTCCACAAGAGACACAACACTGGGCCTTCCAAACACTGGAGCAGATGGAAACAATGGAATCTCACTAGCCAACCAAGAATTGCTGGAATCAGACCCCAAGGACAACTCTTATGTACCACCAATGGATTAGGGGAAAAAGAGACAGAGGATTTCCCCAGCAAGGAGTAGCACAAAAGACCACTCACCATTAGGTAAGCAACAGCTCATTCCCTGACTCCAATTCCTTCTCACATCTCCCATTTAGATACCCTCAGTCCACATATGCCAATCAATACAATTAGGCAACCTGAGATTAGGAGTCCAGAAGTCAGCTAGCTATATTTGTGTAATTGACTAGCCATACCAGCTCAGAATTGGGACAGAGCCAGCACCGCCAACAAAGATGCCTTGGATTGGAAAATCCAAGGTATCCTTGGATGGTGATAGCCTTGGACGTTATTTCTGAGTAAATGATCCAATGCAATCTTGGAGGGCAAAGAAAACCTTGAATTAATTCCTTGGACACGCAGTCCAAGGGAATGTATACCCAAGGATACCTTGGATTTCACAATCCAAGGTATCTTTGCCAACAGTGCAGACAGCCATGAATGGGCCAGAAACCCAGCTTATAGCAGGGCAAGACAGAACCTGTCATTACAAGAGATATGATATTTTCTGAGCAGAAAATGTAGATACTGATTCACAAAGGTATTGGGCTGTCAGGAAGAGAGAAAAACATACAAAAAAATGAGAAAATTGTTCCCATGATTAAGACCTTCAATTTGTTTTTTTGTTTTTTACAGCGTAAATTGCTGATTGTACTAATACAAAACCGCTATGGTCATTCAATGACCACCTGGAGCAGTTGCTGAACGCTGGACCAGGAGTTCCAAGAGAACATGTTTAATTTTCCAACACTGTAAACATTACCCAATTTCCCCAAGTGGGAATGGGGAAATGATTAAGGGTATATTTTGTCATAAAAGGATCTATCAATACACACCTGAGCCATAACATCCACACTACATACACGGTGCCTGTGAAGAGCACCCCAGACGTTGGGGGCTCCTACAAGTACAAAGGCTTCCCTTTGTACTCCTGAGGGCCCCCAACGTCTAGGGCGTCCTCCACGGGCACAGTGATATGTGCAGCAGGATGAGTTAATGGGAGGCTATCATGTACATACAGGTCTTCTGAGTTGTCTGCTCATCTAAATAAGTAAATCACATGTCATACATCATGTAACTTTTTTAACTCTGACAGATTGTCCCAAAAATTGACTACATATACCTCTATAGCTAGTAAAGCTGTCAGGGTGGCTATCTAAATAAGAGGGTGAGTTGTCTAGTTACTTAAACTCTAGTCCTGACAAGAATCTTACTGGTTTTGTGAGATGGTGTTTCATGTGTAATCCTTTAATGCCAGGACAAAAAGGTGTGTTGATATCTTCTAAAAGGAAAGGGTGAACAAGACTTTTTAAAAGTAAACCACGGCTTGATGCAAGGTAGCAGAGTTGAGTTGGTTGATCAAGCTCTAAGACAAGTGCTTTTTTGAAGGAAGAATGGTTTCCTACAAATTGCCTGTGTTACTAGACACAGGGATTCTGTCAACGTTGGGTTGCAGAACCAGTGGTTCATGACCAAGGAGTACTACCCTACAAGTAGGAGTAGTGAGGCTTTTATGTAGCTACCCAAATAGTTTACAACAAGGAGGGATTGTTATGAATAATTGGAGAGTAAGGGAGTGTGGCTGACAGTGGAATTATTTCTAAGGTGAGAGTTTCTGTTGATAAACTTCAGTTGGATCTGATTAGAAAAAATCCCTGACACTTCTTTACTTTTACGTAGGATAACTGGTGATGGTAATGACGGTGTCCTTTCTCCTTGGTTTTGGGAAAGGCACTCTTTTATATCCTTTTCACAGGTATGACCAATTCATAGTTCTGGTAGTTGTAGTCCTGGGATGCATCATTTCCTTGAGGCCAAATTGTGGTTGTGACACCTTGGGAATAGCTCCTTTTTTATGGGTACCATCATATACGTGTTTGGTTTCAGAATTGTCTGGCCTTTCTACGGGTTTAGGAAGTTTTTCTTCTTGCGGGCTTCTGAGTACTTAAGTTTGTGGTACATCAATGTTGCTCCATTGGTACTGTTGAAAAAGGAGATCTAGTCTAGCTCTTGGTATTCTTACGCGAGGAATGTGCAATATTAATTTTTCATGTCATGTTGGTTCATCTCTGATACTAGATGCAAGGTGAATAAATTTATGGGTCTGTCTTTGATAACAGACACACAATGTATATATCAGAAAAATGTATGTTTTTTATTTTTATTCAATTTCAAAATGAATACTGTGTTGAAGCTCTCTTGGCTTTGAATTTGTGCTGATCTTGTTTGTTTTTCTCCATCAGCCGACTTTGACATTCTCCAATTGTGTCTCCGTGGCGTGGTTGGAATCCTCGTGTCTTTGAACATCAATGTTTCCAGCTTGTTGTCCAGAATTGGTATCCATTTTCACATCTTTGCAATTGTTGGCATCAACATTCAATCTATCTTGAGCTTAGATACCACTCATCTTTTCGGTGGCGACCGTTTGCACAGTTCTGTTGGTGATTTGCTGTACAATACACATTTGTATATGTTTGTTTTCCATCTATCATTTTATAATCACTTTACCACACACGGTCATTCTTTATCAGATAATCCTTTGTATGTCTCATTTCCCAAGGGGCTCCCTCCTGTTATGTCATCTACACTGCGGACACTCTTCACTAGCGAATAATCAATGGACCTTTCAACCTTTAGCAATTTTAACATCCAGTGACCAATTTTCATACCCTTTGTGCATCATCTGACTGCTTTATGAGCAGTGTGCCTTCTGAGCCAGCAGTTCCTTGTCCCCTTTGAAAATATGGACGATGTGACAGCATCATTCATAATAGTATCCGAGCTAACAACATACTTTCGAATCTGAATCAAGTGTGACATTGCAAAATATTTCGAACAAACTACCCTGTACACCTTATTACACTACATTTTTAACTTATCTCGACACAAAAGTTTACATTTGAATACTTTGAATAACTTTAAGAGCCTGTCCCTTCGGATATCTTTGAAATTTTTCATTCTGAATCGCAACACTATATTTGGATGCGGTAGATGTATCTCAAGCTAATAGGTGCCAGGCTTGACACCCAGAATACTTCCATCCACTGGAATAATTGCACCATTGACAAAACTCTGATGTCGACTCTATGTAAAGCGGAAGATGCATTATTGAGCGTTTAAGTCGCTCCATGAAGCATAAAGATGAGACATGATCTTATCACCTACAGTCAAGAATAAGATCGCCCCTGCCATTTCTTCTTCAGCTCCCGATCTCCCAGCTGGTATGTCTTTCAATATACGAGAGTATAGTTCTGGTTGAGATTCTAGCATATCGCCCATTTGGGATTTGACTATACATATTCCATATCCAATAGTAAACCCCAAGACATCAGTTTTATGCCACATAGTTGAGGGAGAACAAAGACTTACAAAGTCCAGGACAGATAGCATTACATCTAACATTAGTACCTGATAATTCTGTTGCTAAGATTTTGGTTAAATGATTCAAAGCTACCTTTGACATTGGATAGATTAACCCAGTATTACTACCGCTTCTCATAAAACTTGAAACACTTGATATATTAATGATTTGTGGATTAGATTTCGATTTACCAAGTAAAGGCAAAAGTGCAGCAGATAAATAATAAGGTCCTAAAACATTTGTTTTATAAATCGATTCTGCTTCGTCTTCTTCTACTGCCCACATTGCTTTTGATATACTTTCGATTGTCTTTGGTTCTCTTAATGGGTGTTTATGTGTTATGCCTGCATTATTGATCTATGAATGATTTTATGAAATTTTGACCGACGTTCCCAAATATAGACAGTCAAGGTCAGAGGTTGATTTAACGGAACATCATCAATTGGAAGGTAAACAGATCGAACCGAAAAGGACAAACTAAAAGATCCAAACAAGGTTCGATTTCTTCCATTTTTTTCTTAATTTCTTCAACCCCAACTTTACCACTTACATCTCCTTTTAGAGCAATCAATCTCCCAATATGATTCATATTATCTTTCTCGAACGATTTTATACAGTCTTTCAAGGTCTCTAAACGTCTAGAGATTATATAAACTTTTGCACCATTCGAAGCTAAAGTACGAGCAATCATTGAACCGATCCCTGTTCCTCCACCAGTCACGATCGCTTCAAAAGGTCGAACATTAATAAATCAACATCAATAAAGAATCATGACACAGAGAAAACTTAAGTAACATACCGACTTTATTAGAAACATCGAATATGTTAGAAACGTGTAATGCTGATGTTGTCACAGATGATTTATCCATTTTTGAACATTAATTGGAGATTTGAAACGTCTATGTTATTATCAATCAAGGTGAATTTCTAGAATGAACGGTCGAGTTGTTGAAGACTTGAAAACCCTCAATGTAGAATTCCGAGTGGCTATTTTCTACTGTGAGGATATCAATATCAAATCATGAATTGATAAGTCTACCAATCAACATACCAAAACTGGCCCGAACATCATCATCATTTGACCTCATGATATTGTACATACATCTGACTCACGCGCCTTTGATGAAGATTTTCTCACGAAGATACAGCGCTTCATGAATTTATCGGCACTTTTTCATGCGAGGTGTTTACAGGTGGGTTTAACCAGGTTTAACCTGTATGTCCAAAACTCAGGCAAAACTGGGCCAGGCAGTTCCCACGTGTGACAGATTGTGTGGGAAGATGTCAACCCTTCTCGACAGATCAGGACATATCTCTTGCTTGGTCCCATACTTTTGCAGGACCTACATAATAATCAACCACGTGTCCAAATCACACGGTCACACCCATCAAGGGATATCCCTGGTTTGGTCGGGCTTTGTTCATTGTCATTTCCCCTTTGCCCCCACCCAATTTGATCCTACCTCTTGTTTTTCTTTTTTTTCTTTTTTTTTTATTTTTATTTTCCTTTATCCTGCTAGGTGTATACCAAGTGAGTTATTTCCACATTGTTCATCTTTTTCCGCTTTTTCCATAACCAACTTGTCTTTTGACTGTAGAAATATACCTGTCAATTTTTACACACCCAACACCAAACTTGTTGTGGTTTGAATGGTCTTGAGAGGGGTTTCATTTCCGCAAATTGTTAGTACGCTTGGTGTGGATTTATCTCTTACATCTGTTTGTTGGTGGTATGACCTTTACCAAACTACTTGGGCAGTGATCACCAAACCTGTGGAACATATGACCTGTGGACCTGCCACCATGCTAGCACAGCCTGAACGCGAGTTTGGTCTTGATGCCCTCTGACTCAATCTGACTCCCTATCTTGATGAACTTCAATCTAAGATTCAAGAAACTCACAGCACTGCCAGGATTAAACACTGTCCCTAATGGAATAATGATCACTTTTGCATTAATTGCTTAGCATTTATATGGCAAAAATTAATTATCCCAAAAAAGCAACACATTATCCCAATTGGGACAGTGTTTAATCCTGGCAGTGCAGTGTTCAATTGTTGTTGTAAACCCTCTCTGTTGAGCTCTGTTGTTGCCTACAATGGACTCGCAAAAAAGCAAGAACAATCCATCCAAATCAATCATTATAAGCTTCTTGAGGTGCCTACATTCAGGCTGTCCATGGTATCAATCCTCAATGCTTGTTATTTACTGGTATGTTATGTTTATAATTTTCCTTTTAATTTTCTTCTGATATTGAGTTGGGTTCTGACTTTTTGGTATCCTCAAAGATGAATTGGCTATCACCAAAGTCATTTTTATTGCAAATACGGAGCCCCAGTTGGGGAACATACAGCCTGAGTCCAGAGGCCAACACAAACCTTTCAATGGTCTGTTTTACCTGCATTCTCCATGGATGGTATTTTGGCTCTTAATATACAGCCCAGGGGGTATGCAAGGATTGATTTCAAGGATTTTTTAGATGATGAAGTGGCAAGTACTTTTTTTTGGGTGAAAATTTAAAATATGGCAAAAACAAAGTACTGACTGTTCTCTTCACACTCTAGTTACCAGCCATGAATCCTTGGCCAGCACAAAACAGTATCCTCGTGATGGACAATGCCTCAATCCATCATGGGGGCAGAGTGGCTGATCTGTGTGAAGCCCGAGAAGTCCGCCTCCTCTACCTACCAGCTTATAGCCCAGACATCAATCCCATCAAGAAGGAATTCTTGGTTCTGAAAGCTAGATTGTGAAGCTTGCAAGTCCTTCAAAGGGCTGCAATCCTTGCAGAAGAGACAGCCATGATCTTTATGCCTTGTATGGAAGTGTTTACAGCTAATCTAGGCCAAGCTCTTTTTAGAGGGTGCAGCTAAAATTGACACATTTTTTTATTCTTTGATTCAAAAAAATTATAAGTTAAAGAAATTCCAAACCATGCAGTATTTCTTGTTTATTCAGCTTTTGGTGTTGTTTCCTTTTTTTCATCATGTACAGTTGTTTGCAAAAGGCTTGCCACAAATTCACCGCAAAATTGCTCAAGTTTTGTGGGCAAATTTGGGCAAGCCTTTTGAAAACAACTGTGTGTTGTGACCAAAATTGTCATCGTTGATCAATTTGTTCCTTTTATCTTGGTTGCTTGTGATTGCTGCCTCAATTGTTTCCACACTTGAAATGGGTCAATTGCTTTTCAATTGCTTTTGTAGGTGTTGATATTCTCAATAAAAACATATACAGCCATGCCGATATTGCTTGTCGCTCTATTTTGAAAAAGAAAAAGTGAAACCTAAGTTTTTACTCAATAAAACTTCAAACTTGGCTGTAATTCAAGGCAATACAGCCAAATTTCAGGTTTTAACCAGTTAAAACTTAGGTTTCAAGCTCACAAAATTTTTCTTTTCAAAAACATTGCGACAAGCAATATCGGAATGGCTGTATTGGATTGATATGATCAAAAAATACAACGGCTTCAAAATGTTTGAAAGGAGAAAAAATACAAAGGTTTTCTCATAAAAATTATCAAAAACAAAATGAAAACAAAAAAAAGGTTTTGTGAAACTCATCCAAAAGATCCCAAAAAAAAGAAAAATTTCACTTTTTTTGAAAAATGATGAAAATTTCAAGGAAAAAGTCAAAGGTTGATTTTTGAGACTTATAGCAAAAATCAAAAAAAAATGGACTGGTAAAAATCTTCTGTGAGTCTTTGAGCCAGCCTCAAATATTTGAAGAAGTCTTCCAAAATTTGAGGAAGTTGGACTTTATAACAAACTTTTTCAAAAATCCAGAAAAGGACTATTTGAAAGTCATTCAGATTGATTTGGAAAATCAGGTTTGGATTGAACGGACAGATTTTGATACTTGCTGTGAAGTTTCACTTCAAAATAGCCAGCTTTCATTTCTGCTCCAAGAAATAAGGACTAAGTCCAAACATTTGTGCACACAAATGTAATGAGTGTCTAACATGAAAATTACAATGTATCTAATTCTTGCTAGCCTCATTGATTTGAGATAATTGACTATGTGAAGTTGACATATAATTGATATGATCTATTGAGAATCTAACTCAATAAAAGTCAGTAAAGTTGCTTACCTATCTCTCAAAGATGGAACAGACTCAACAAGGGCTTCTTTGTTCCACTCTTGAGCTTTAGCTAAGATGATTTCCGCATCCTCTTGTTTGATTCCAATGGTAGTCAAGGTTGATTTGGTCATTTGGGAGCAAGGAACAAGATCCGATTTCAATTCCCAATTGTAAAAGGCTAAGGGGCACTGCCAACATATTTGGCTCAGATACCAAAATCCGAGGAGTCCTCGGATTTTGTATCCGAGTTGTCATCCAACTTAAATCATCCAACACACCACCGACCTCATCCAAGCAACATAATGATCCGACTGTAAGGATCCGACAATGAGCCGAAGAAGATCGCCACTGAGATATCATCCGACCCAATTAAACCGACCCTTCAATCCCTATATTGGGAGTGCATAGCACACATAGACGCGAAGGAATAGAGGATCACCGCCTCCTTCCGGTGGGCTAAAAGCCTAAAGGTGATTAATAAACCCCAATGTTGTATAAAAATGAGATTCAATCTCAAAAAAAAAAAGTGTGTGTTCTCCGACGCCCGAAAAGTCAACAAAATTCCTTGCTCCGACTAGATGGCCGCTCCTCCAAGGTATACTAGTCTTTCACTTATTTAACGTGTTTAGTTAGTGTTGTATGCAATAAAGCCAAGTAGCACTTTAAAAAAAAAAAAAAAACGACCCTTCACCAACTTATTGACCTCATCCGACCCAATACCACCAAACCATCAAGCGGCCAAGGATTTTGATCTCCGAGATCTTGAGGTAAGTAAACTCAATATTAAGTTGAATGTCATAGTCACTTGGCTCGGAAGGAACAGTTTTAACCGACCCAACCCTGGCTTCATCCGATGTTTGATTCCTCATGTCCGACTCAATCAACCTATCCACCGACCCAAAACTTCATCTCACCGACTCAAATCCTAATATTTTGTCGGCTTCAACCCTTGCCTACGGATAGTGCTAACCTAAGCAATGAAATTTCGGGATCGGCTGAGTCTGGATGATCACCAGAAGAGCAGAAAATCTAAGAGACTAGCTATCACTTGCAACCTAAACAATTTGGCTGGATTTCATCTCAAATCCAACCCAAATTCCCTTGCTGGAAAGTGGGAACAGCTAGGTATCACTGCTGATGTCTTACGTGCAATCGTTAGATTTGGGTACGTATATTTCATACTCAAATCTATGTGAGATGCTCGATGACTGATTGTGACCTGCCCATTTTGGTCTCGCAATCTAACCCAATCCAAGAACGTATTCAAGCCTACGCGATCCCGGCGCTTCAACTCATCAGTCACTCTGCTCGTGGTCCATCTCCCAGGGCTTATCCTCCTCATATTAGACTCAACAAACCATCTTTGCCTCCTACACCCAATCAGACAGTCAAAGCGTTGATGATAACTGCTACCCTTGATGAAGCCTTCAAGCTTATTGGCTTGCCAATTGCGTCGCTTACCTATTACCATACGCTCTGAAAGTCAGCCATTGCTCTAGCGACGCCCAACCTGCCCCTTCTCACCCAGCTGTCTCAATGCACCCTCAGCCTTACATCCTCATTGGAACACCATCAAAACTTTTGGATCCTGTCAACCGTCTACAAGGACACAAATTTGTGTGGAATACAAGTGGGTGTTGAATTTACCCAAATGTTTGTAGTCCAAAACCCATAGGCCATATGCTTAGGTTGAGTCCAAATTTGAAATTCCAACTTTTTCATTTTTTCTCAATGTCCAACATATAATGGAACAGTAGTATAATGGCACCCTTGATATCATGAGGATATGAAATCATGGTTTGTGACAATTCCTTCATTCATGTTGACAACTGATGTAGAAAAACATTGACTAAAACATATCCTCAGATAGTTGTCATGGCTATAGCTCAATTGTACCTGACACTTGATTTCCTGAACATCTAATCTTCATACACATCAAAAATCATTTACAAGATAGATTTTCTTCAAGAGACACACATGTTAGGCTTAGAATTCACAAGATAAATTCAGATTGGACTTTCCTTCAACTCAGAACAAGACAAGATAACATACCTTCCATTTGAGTCCCAATTCACAATTAGGCAACCTAGAGTAGTATGGTGTTCACTTGTTTCATATAACTCAAAAGCCCACCATAAATACTCAAGTCCCTCTACCACACTAGCAATATGAGCTTCAGATTGAACAGCAATGTAACCATATCCGTCACTCCAGTCTTTCCTTCCCATTTAGCTTTGATCAAACTGTTGACAAATTGAAAACCAGCATAAGCCATACTCAAGGTAGCACTACCTTTCCCTTCTTTAGCTTTGACAACTTCATCTCCACCAAATTGGATTTGATTGATAAGTTCCTTAAGTTTGGTTTCATCTGATAAGACATGATGGTAGGGATGGAGAAGATTGTGTAACCCAAATGACCACCAATCACTGGGACCTTGTATTGGTGTGCTTTTTTGGGTTGAAGTAATTTAAGAAAAAAAAATTACCACTCAGCTGCTTTGGGGGCTCTTGCCCTTTTGAGTAACATCTTTCTACTCCGGGACCACCCACGACGTGATGTAACTCAAGACATAAATAAGACTCTCGTCCGTATTATGTGGCGGCTGCGCGCCAATTGCCTAGTGAGGAATTAAAGGAAAAGGGAAAGAAAAACACCCAGCTTGCGGTCACTGAATGCATACTTCTTAAGTTCTTACCATGTAAACACAGTTTGAATTGAATGCCTCAGTGTCTTTTGTCATTACTGAACAGCCACCATCGGCTCTGTATCCTAGCCTCGTGTGATATCACTTGGTGCCGTGGAAACCAACAGTACCGTCGTGCCTTTGGACACTGTTTATCATTTTACACAAAAAGCAATGAAAGGTTTGAATCTGAAGTTTTGAAGTTAAAGATTAGATACAAAATGTTTTTTTCACAATCCACAATCACAGCCTGTTTCCACAAGTCTTCACAGCTCCCTGGACCTTACTGAAAATGACAACATGGTTAATCGAGAATCATACATATTTCCAAATAACCCATCTTTGCAAGTCTTAATTATTTTCTTGTGGATACAAGCTGGAATTTTGCAAAGTGCAATCACATCAAGCTTTGTCATGTGATGTGATTCACATTTTCTACCTCTTTCTGAAATCATTGTGGTGTCTTTTACTCGGATGGGATGACAATCATTTATTGGAGTCATTTGATAAGTCAATCAAAAACAAAGCTGGCTATGCGGCTAGCATGTGCGTATCATGGACAAGTGTGTGGATTCATCAGACATCACAAAAAGAAGTGTAAGTATAGCCCAAATGACACATGACATCTAAAGAAAGAAATGGAGTTGTGAGATGTTTGACACGTGTTACACGCGCACATACAACCCTTTTGATCAGCCAAAAATGCCCAAGAAAACTTTTACAATGGTACGGAATCTTTTGATGCAAATGACCAAACTCCCAGCGATTAACTACAAATATCTTGCCAGCCAAAGGTGCACCACCAGGTCAATCAGATGTCATTTTATTTGTTGAACATAGGTACTTCACGAGGATAAAATGGTTGCTCAAGGAAACAATTATCCCAAATATTCAACTTGATGCCTTTGGATTTACAGAAATCTTCCAATGGGATAAGTTTAGGATCTAGTGCTGGGCCATGAATTTGACGAGTTCGGAATTTCATGGGCATTACTATTTCCTTGAGATTAGAAAATACATCACTAATGATAAAATCTGTAAAATTTTCAAATCGATCTTCGAAGGAATGATACACTGTGAGGTGACGGAGATTTGGACAACCTGTAAAACATCGAACAGTCTCGTATGGTTGGTCACGGAATATGGTCAAGTGCGTTAGAGCAGGTAGAGAAAACCTATGGATTTCTGGGTGGAAAACATTTGGATGACCTGATAATCCGGGGGGGTGGTGTGCTTCCAAGTTGAGTTCAAAATGAGTTAGGCGAGGAGCCCAAGAATTGAGCTCAGAAGGCAGCTTTGATGACCAACGATTGAGAGCGTCATGGATCTTAAGTTTGACTAACTGAGGAGGAGCTTTATGAAGACCCCAAGAGTTGTCTTTGATATCAACATGCATCAAAGACAGCTGTTTCAAGTTTTTGAGATCTTGAAGAGTGCTAGCAAGGCAATTAGGTTGTCCCCCGTCTTCAACAAGATTAGCGAGCTCGAGAGATTCAAGAAGTGGTAGATGTTTGATGGGTTCAAAGATAGACTCTGTAGGTATTGGTCTACCGCGATAACCCATGTACTTGAGATGTTGAATATGTTCAAGATTGGAAAATAGTAGAGTCAGGTTACAGATCAGGTTAGTTGTCATGTCTGTTGGATGAGGGTCCATAGCACAGGGAAATTGAAGAGAGAGCTTCGTGAATCCATCACATTGAGAAAGCACTTTGAGGAGGTCTTTGGGACCGAGACCAGGTGAATGAAGTAGCACAACGTCTTGTTTGACTCCAGAGAGACTTTGTTGAACTTGGGGGTCGAGATGATCAAAATGCAAGTCTTTATCTAAGGCACTTCCATCTAGTTTGAATCGATTCTCGATAGACTGGCGAAACTTGAATTTATTCGTATCAGAAGACCGAAAGGTGAAATGATGTTGATTTTCATCACCGGCAGCACGTCTAGCAGGTCTGATAGAAAGAGGTTTATGTGATATTGTGGTGAATTCGTCTTCCATAAGCGCATAAAATTCTTTGACATAAGATGCGTATTTTGGCAAAATCTCCTGGGTCCAGAAAGAGATTGGACGAGAGACTTCATGAGGTATGGCGAGAGACTAGAGCACCAGCGTAGAGAAAGTTAGAAGTAAAAAACGAAGTCATATGATAATGAGTAAGTCTCAGGAATCAATCTTATGTGATTCAGTAAATGGAAGTTAACTCACCTGCCATATGAAAGGCTGACAAAGATGATGCATCCTACGATTAACAGCGGAAAGAGATTGCAAGTCACTCATGATCCGAGCTTCAGGATTGTATTGATAAATGTACAAAAGTTTTGAATCTTTTGATACAAGAGTAAGTATCTGCTTGGCCTTCTGCCGGTAATTTCCATCGCCTAGGTCCCGGTTGATCTGGTGAGTCCGGTCTTTGTCAAGATATTTTGCAATCTGGAAAAAGATTTCATAAGGTAATTGACCAAGTAAATCTCTCTGAGTCCCCGATACTATTTTGGTAGGTTGATCAAGTTGGGTTTTTGCGTTTCGTGAGTTTGGCATTTTGATCTGGTGCTGTGGTCCGACTGCCGTTCAAGGCTCAAGGGAACTTGCGAGTTTTGCAGAGGTAGTGAGCCAAATAAGAGATTTGAGTGAGTTTTTGAGACTTTGTGTTGAAGGATTTTGTTCCAAAGCTAAACGTTTAACAAGCAAGGAGATGTTTAGGTGCAAACTTTCCAAATGGCTGAATTTCATCACCTGGACACGAGGGCCTTCAGCAGGGATAAAGCTAGCAGACATACAGCTATATACGAGACCCTTGCACCCTGAGTATTACCAAACATGACCCCCCTGGTCATACCAAATACCTCGGTGGGTCCCGGGGGAGCTTTCCGAGGTCCTCTTGTTCTGTTCTCAATACTTTTAGATATTTTCAAGACCACCAATCAAGATGACTTGTAACTTGATCATGTCTTGGTGTATATCTTATCGACATTCGCCATTGACGCCGCCAATGATGTCTGTCTTAGGGAAGCGGCGAGGCCGATGTTATCAATGAACACATTGACGATCAAGAGCCTAATCACATAGAATTTATTCAATCTGTCATATTTCCTAATTTGGGGTAAGAAGCTCTTAGAACTCTCCAATTGGCATTTTTGGAAAATGAAGTGCACTGTGCTGCACTGTGACTGTAAAAACCCAGTTTTAAGTTTCCATAAACTGCAGTTTCAAGTTGTCAATACAGTCTTACGCATTCACTTTGATTGGTCTCATGGTCACCAAAATCCCAAAACATAACTTCAACTAAAGTATCAAACCCCCCCTTCAACACTTTCCATCGTCATCATCATCATCATCACCACAACTACCAAGCGACTCAATCTCATCAGTTCTTACAACAAACCTTTCAACAACCTCTTAAACCTATAACTACCTCCACGTAGACCTTCAACTTTTCAACCGATCATCAATTTTCATACTATACTAAAGCATCAATAACTTTAATATCATGGGTGACGCTACTTCCTACGACTTCTTATTCGTTAGTCCTTTTCTGCTCTAATCTATTTCTTTTCCCGGAGACCAGATCTACAATGCCCATCATCATGAAATCTCGCTAAATCTTTCAAGAGTTCCTTCCCATGATGAATTGATCAACATCCATCGATCCAAAACAAGTTTGATCTGACTTTTTGTCTTTATGATACCTTGATGATCTTAGAAAGTGGTTTTGATTGGAGACTCTGGCGTTGGAAAATCGTAAGTGTTAATAATAAGATGATAAATCGAAAACCTTCAATGATCGTCGGAATGTACTCCGATTACGAAGGAAAATATAAGAACCTAAACTGATCATCATTCAAATTCATTGAATCTTTTCTCTGCAACTCAGAAACTGTCAGTATATGAATTACTTCATTATTTCCTTAGCGTTCTTGGGCAGCAAGCCTCGGGATTCATCATCTAATTCACTTGGTTTGATCTGATTCTAGTGCTCTCGAGATTTACACGGAATGAATTTAATATGGAATCGAAATCGACTATTGGAGTCGAATTTGCAACCCGAAGTATCGTAGTTGATTCTAAGACTATCAAAGCACAGATTTGGGATACTGGTATGTTATTTTATGTCAATCTCAATCCCTCCGAGAAAGCAAAGTGTTTCTTTGTTATCTGATTTTCATTCTATTGATAGCTGGTCAGGAACGTTACCGAGCGATCACATCGGCTTATTACCGAGGAGCAGTTGGAGCATTATTAGTTTATGATATTTCAAAACAACAATCTTATACTCATGTACAAAGATGGTTAAAAGAATTAAGAGATCATGCTGATAGTAATATTGTGATCATGCTTGTTGGTAACAAGAGTGATCTGAGGCATTTACGTGCTGTACCTACTGAAGAAGCTAAGGCGTTTGCTGCTGAAAATAATTTAAGCTTCATTGAAACTTCTGCTATGGATGCTAGTAATGTTGAATCTGGTATGTTTTCCTATACTAATCCCTTTCACTCTTTGATTCTTGTGTGACTCATAATTCCTTGACCGTTTGATCGCTCAATCGGCTCATAGCTTTCCAAAACATCTTGACCGGTCAGTCCCTATTAACGTTTGTACTTACTTATCTGCAGAGATACTAATACGTTTTCCGGTCGTTCTTTGTTATCAGACATTTATCGTATTGTGTCAAGCAAAGCACTAGAATCATCAGGCGATTCAGTTGGTCCCACTTCCGGTTCAACCATCACTGTTACTCCAACAGCCGATGACGGAGCAAAATCAAATGCAGGTGGCAAATGCTGTTAATGTGTGTTTATCGGTTCAATTTTTTTTCACAAATGCTTGTCTTGATAATGCTTTCTTTAAAGAATCACCTTTATTGTTGTTCAGAATTTGACTTGCATCTTCCTTTCCTTTCCTTTTCTACTCTTTTTTATGATGGCCTTATATTGATCACTTTGGTATAGGGGTATCTTTTCTTTGTTCTTTAACATACATACATACATCAGAAAATCATACAGTTCTAGATTGTTATAAATCTTCTCCTTTCCTTTTTTAGTTTTATTTTTTTGTTCAAAGGATTTTTGGTGGTATAATGTGGTTGTAGTGGTTTTATGTTGTGCGAGTGTTGTGTGAGTGGAAATTAAAGTGGAAGTTTTTTTTAGTGTGTGTTTGAATGTGTGTTTGTGTTTGTGTTTGTTCAGATCAACCAAAGAAAAGAAAAGTCAAAAATATTTAAAGACAAGAATGAAAAATGCAGGCCAATCTTTGGGTTTTTTTTATATTATATCAAAGATGAGAAAGTGGAACATGCGGAAAACTCTTAGGGCGCGTTCACTTAAGGAATTTCTGACCAGAAATCACATTCTGCAAATTTTTTAAGGGGAGGAAGACTTTTCCACCCGTTTTTTTCCACCCGTTTTGTGGTGTAAAAAAAGGCAGGTGGAAAATTGCATAAGGTGGGGGGTCTTATGGAATTTTCCACTTTTTTTCATTTTTTCTCGCAAGTGGAAAACAAAAGGAGGAAAACCTAGGGTGGAAATTTGCATGCTGAGCCCAGCAATATCTAATTTTCCACCTCATTTCTTGCCACCTAAAAAGCGCGTGCAAAAGTCCGTGTGTAAAACTACATCCAAGGTACCTGAGATCGACTTTTCCACCCATATGTTTGCACTGAGGTAGGGATTTGCACCCTTGCTTTACACCCAAAGCGAATAGCTTGGTGTAAAAATGGGCTTTCGTGGTCAATACTCCATTTGAAAGGACGGGTTGCTTTCAACTCGTCCTTTTATGCTTTTTCGAAAGCACAAGGTGCTGTTCCTCAAACGAATATAAATACTCCCAGACTTTCGAAGCAGGTCAATTCCCATCTGAGCATTGCAACATACAATCAACGGGCCATTTCACTTGATCATATTCAATCACCTTTTGTTGGAAGGCAGTGTGCCAAATCAATAAATCGATTGATCCTTTTCAAATCACATCATACCAAAAGACCAAATCAATAAACCTCATTTCACTCAATCGATCATACTCAATCGCCTTTTGTTGGAAGGCAGTGTGCCAAATCAATAAATCGATTGATCTTTCTCAAATCACATCATACCAAAAGACCAAATCAATAAACCTCATTTCTCGTGATTTTATTCAATTGCCTTTTGTTGGAAGGCAGTGTGCCAAATCAATAAACCAGTTGATCATCATCATACCTGGAGAACAACCATACAAAATATAGAGTCTCCACCCTCATTGCTAGATATTTTACGTATCCATTCCAAAGGTATAATCCAAAACCACCAAACAGTTTCCATCACTATATTTGATCGATAAATGGACTGAGGCAGATTGATATAGATATTATGGAGGAGATGGATAATTGAAACATGGCTTGATGGAGAGGGACAGGACGGATTGGGAATAGAAATATGGCAGCAAAAATTTTTAACAATCACCCTGTTACCAATTTTCTTTTCCTTACAATCAGATATCTTCCGAATCAAATAGCTTTTTCTTGTTTGTCTCACTCTCTTGACTATCCTTTAGAAGACCTCAACTTCAACTTTCAAAAAAGGCTCATCTCGATCTCTCTCAAAAATGTCCTCATCCAACAAGTTTACGCAAGATAGTCCAAACACCAAGGCAGGCATTCAAGCATCCCAGGCCTTAATCAACTCAAAAAACCTTGACGAGATAGTGGATATTCCACTAGATTGCTTTATCGGGGAGGATTCAAAACTTGACTCGCAAGGTTACCCACTGTATCCCAATGGAAACACTGTCTGGATCAAGCACCCAGATGTTGAAGCTCCCCTCAATTTCGGAAAAGTTGGTTTTAGTTACACATCAAGAGTCACATGGTCAAAGAATAAACGTATCAAGTCAACCAAGTTCAAGTGCCTCGGAGTACTGATGTGCAGTAATGATTTATGTGATTATCGTGGGCCACCCCCAACTGGAAAGGGGAAGATCCCGGAGCTCATGGCACAGTGAATACCCCTTCACTCTATCATACAATTTGGATCCTCATGCTGATAAACTGTTCCAGACACCCTACCTGCCTTGCACCACGCTGCAGCGAAAAGCTAGCTCACATAGATTGTGAAGGCACACACACCCGAGTTGACGTGGATATGGTCACAGGCTGGTCGAAACTTACTCATTCAGGCATCCATGGACACCCTTGGCCAGATTCAAAGAAGCCTGATCTGTTGTCAAAAGCAAAACTTGCTCAAGTGATTGTGAATAACCCGGATACAGCTCCTTTTCTACTCCGGGTATGTGTTTTCTTTGCGATTAAATTTGCAGCGACTATATTGAGATGTGATTGACTTGATGTGTGATTATGGATGCACAGGTTGGTCGATCAAACGCAGGGCAGGCTCCTATCAAGAGTGTAAACCAAATACATCCATCTCTGGGTCATAAAGACCGTCTGTCTTATCTTCGGCGTGACATATTGGTCAAGGCGGGCCTGATGCCCGCAAAAGCTAGTGATGGAGGCGGAGACAAGCTACTTCTAGATATGTTTCACTGGAATCAGTGAGCCACCTTGATCAGCTTCTACCTGTTTCTTCCGCTTGTCTGAGCATTACCTTCTCTGGTGTTTCAATTTTATTAATCCAGCCAGGGGTTGAAGATAATCTCATCATCATTTATGGACAACGAGGAGCACTTCACCTTCCAGACCCAGTGGATGGCTGAACGGCTGATGGATCGTGACGAAAAGAATGACGTATATCGAGGTGGACTTTTATCGGATGTTACATACAAGTTTTTTGAAAATGGTTATCTCCTTACGACATCTATGTACTGTGAAGATTTAATGAGATGGATTCCAGTTCAACTTACTTGGTTGCGAGGTCTCAAAGTCAGCCATTATAAATGTCATTTTGTCACTCTTCTGAAACAATTCTTTAAGGCCTCCATGACAAAGCATGAATGCGAGATCCTTTCTCGCCAAGTTGTAGACTTCTCGATGTCCCAAAAGGAGGGATTTGTACAAGCTTATATGGAGGTTTTTGGTGAAAGTGACCGTGCCCGGGTCATGCGATTGCTGAAAGTTTGTCAGGAGCACTTTCGTCAGCAGGTCACCCGAGTCAAGCGCAACCATAAAATCATTCCACCACACTTAGAGGTTATTATGAGCTTTTTCACTGAAATTCATAAGGGGGTGATGTTTGCTTATTTATGTATTTCTCATTGTGGAAATATCAACAGTCTGACTTCGCCGCACTTGCAATGGGTTTGCTACAAGAAAAGGAAGACGGGGGAAAAACTCACGAAGAAAAGCTAGAATACATCCGTCAAAAGTTTCCTAAAGTAAAGCGATGGTTAGACTGGTGGCAAATGTCAGATGTTCAAGCAATGGTATTTCCAAGTCGTCGGCCCCTCCCGGAAGACTTGCCCGATGCAGACCATGGATTACCTGACACGACAAACGCACAAGAGTCAATGCATCGAATATATTACATGTTGTGGTGAAATATAATTTTGTCTCTAGAATCAATCTGATTTGTATATAGCTGACTCATAGTTACATCCACCTGTGGGTTCTACCAGTGACGGTAAGACATCCTTGCAAGTTGGGATGGTTCAGCTCTTTGCATTAGTTCGCTGCCATGAGCATGATCATCAGCAGATTCTCCGTGGTATCCCGGTCGAATACGGATCTCAGAGCAAGACCTACACCTACATTGCTCAGTCGCTTGGTCAGAAGAAGCCTGCAAAGCGGAAACATGAGAAGACTGACGGAAGAGCTCCAGATACTACTGAGGCTTTGATTGGCAAGGGTGCAAAGCTTGGGCGGCCTAAAGGAAGTCTCAATGTTGACCGCAATCCGGTGACTACCTACCAGAGTTATTCAGCCTCAGATGTAGCAACTTCTAGAAATCGATGTTGGATGGCTTCAGTGTTAGAATCAATGTATTGCTTGTTCAGCCCTCATTGGATTCAAGGATCTCGTGGACGGGAAACCGACATCTTTACGATTATCACCTATCATTTTGACTCACGTGCAACCTACGAGCTCAATCAGTCCGGTGGGATCAAATCCATACTCACTAAAGCACAGAATAAGATTGCTCGTGCTCTAGATAAGAAATATCAAGGTTCATTTCGGCCTGGATGTTATGCCTCTGCTGACTATTTCATCGAAGTCATTCTTGATACATCAAAAAATAAAGCTGTAATCCTCAAGACCCTCTTCAATTTCACCAACACTTTACAATATCATTGTGCACATTTCCCAGAGAAGCATCACTCTGAAGATACCCGCACTGAGAACACTATCAAAATCACTCGTAATGCATTTGATGGTGCCGAAATCGATCATCACAACATTTCAGCTCTCCTTGAACAGTGGACAACAACCGCAATCACTATCAAATGTGGTAGAGTCTGTACTACATGCAAAGAACACCAAAAAGGACATTATGAGGAAGAATCAACATCGACTCCTACCACACCATCATCAGAATCTTCAACTGTGGAAGTGGTAAAACAAATACCAAATTCGTCCTTTAATCCTCCAGATTTAATCAAGCACTCGACACTCAAACTCGAATCCAAGCCGCTTCACCTTTACTTTCATCTTGAAGTCACATCAATACTAGACTTGGATGAACGTGCTAGGTTTATGAGCAAGATGGATTGGCCGGCTACTTTGACACTTAATGGACATAGATACTTATTAATGTCTCGTGGCTACTGGAATGCAGCTCACTTCTGGACAAAGGTCGTACGGAATCATGATGGATTACCTGCAGTTTGGCTTTTTGATGATAGCAAAAATGCAGGCTTTGCACGCCTAATAGATCGTAAAATCTCAAATATTGGCGGGCCGTCTCCAAACACCAGTTGGCTTTTCTACTCGCGCGAATCCACCATAGAAGAGGATTCTTCCCTGCGTAAATCAGTCGAGCTTATCAAGCGTAGTAATCCAAACTATCCTGGATTCATTACCTCTCAAGGTGTAGCTGAATTACTTGCACCTCATCGACCTCAGATACTTGAATCAACTAAGGAAGATTTATGTGCCTCAGATGGAAACACAGATGAACTTTTCTTGGAAACTCAAACTGGTGTGCAATCATTTTTTCTATGTGATCCCTTCCACAAGCTCTGATCTATAAAATGTGATTACAGTAAACAACCATGCAAATAATGTTAAGGTAGATAAAAAGGTCAAGGTGAATCAAAAGGTTTCAGTTTTAGAAGCTGAAGTTGATCCTTCAACGGCGGAAATTGATGGGACAGCACCATCCAAGAGGCGTAAGGTCAACAAAAGGGCAGTTTTGACAGATTCAAAAGATGTTCTTGCAGCAGGTGACACTTCAACGTTGAAACCAAAATCTCCAAAAGGTCAGTAATTACATATTTACCCTCACTTAAGGCACAGCTCACATGTTGCATGTTGTTTGTGCAAAAGCAGTAAACAAAAAAACTAAAGGTTGGAAAGGGTGGGCTATTGTTGAGGTTGAGAATAAAGCTCTTGACAACACTGATGTAGGAGTATTCAATTTCCAAGAGTCAATGGAAGAAGGTAGTGTGCGGAAGTCAAAGCGTAAGAGATGAGGAGGATGGTATTGTTCTTGTCTCTCCTAAACTTGTTTGCTCATTTATTCAACTAGTGAATCAAATTGTTGCTTCTTTGTTTTCTCCTTTAATATTTCTATACCTTCTTTTTTTGTGATCATTTCTTTCTCTTCTGGTATCAGTTCTGCTCCATCTAATTTGTTTGAACCTGTCAAATCATGTTTACCAGAAACCAAAGCAACACAAATTTTGAAGAGGAGAAAAAATTCTTTAAAAGATAGTTATATTTTTTATCTATAAAGGTTTACAATTGCCGCTTGAAGTGCATTTAACGGTCAATCATCAGGTATGATGATGTAATTAAAGGTATTTGATGAGTGGTTCAAAAAGTTAACTTGTATTTTTTGGCCCGGTCAATCATTTGGTACAATGATATAATTGAAGGTGTTCAAGTCATAGGATGCATCTCAATAATGAAAGTTCAATATCACATTGAACTTTTCCCTTTGAGCGTAAAAGGAAGCTGTAATTTTCTACATTGGTGGAAACAACTGGATGGAAAATTCTATCTGAGGTGGCTTATATAGAATTTTACACACAAATATTTTTACACTCATTTTCTTGCGGAAAGAATTTGGGTGGAAAATTGCATATTGCCGGGCCCAGGATGTAATTTTCCACCCTAGTTTTTCCACCTTTTGTTTTCCACTTGGGAGAAAAAATTGAAAAAATGCGGAAAATTGCATATGATCCCCCAGGTTATGGAATTTTCCACCCGCCTTTTTTTACACCACAAAACGGGTGGAAAAAAACGGGTGGAAAAATATAGGTCCCCATTTTTTAATGCAAAAATGCAATATGCACCACCAAATAGACACTTTAAATTTTGCAGAATGTGATTTCTCACCAGAAATTGCTTAAGTGAACGCGCCCTTAGGGCGCATTCACTTGGGCAACTTCTGGTGAGAAATCACATTCTGCAAAATTTGAAGTGTCCATTTGGTGGTGCATGTTTCATTTTTGCATTAAAAAATTTACAGAATGTGATTTCTGGTCAGAAATTCCTTGAGTGAACGTGGCCTTAAGAGATGTTTTGGATAAATGGATGGGACCAGGGCCTGGGGGTTGAATTGCCTCACATGAACCAAATCATGATCCAGATTGTTTTAGATATTTAACCTTATTTGGATATATAACAGCTGACCTCGTCTCATGCGCTTAGTACTTCCAAGGTCTGAAAACAAAATCAGAAAGCCTATGTGATCCTTTGTCATTCTTTTTTCCCCCTGGCTTTTGGCAGTTGGCTTCTAAATCATAAAATTTCCCACACAAATACTCGTGATATGTATACACACCTCTTTTGAAAGACAAATTATTTGATTTCCTTTAATAAAGTATTGATGTGGTAGGCATGTTTCCAAAAACAGAGATTTCACAGTTAGCTTGTTTTTTAAATTGTTGTGAAATGTATAAAAGAATGAATTGAGGGAGTAGTGTTTTGAACATGAATTGTCAAGGTTGTGAGGGCCCATGGGACACTTTCTTAAGCTTTGGTGAGATTAACTTCAGGTATGGTAAGTATGAATGATGTACATACTACATTAGGGCGGTTCAAGAAGGGTTTTTACAGCTCATTTTTAAGTTTTAAGTTTTGTTCGGTTCACTTAAATTTTATGTAAAATTTTAAGTTCGTGGACCACCTTTAGAGGTGGTCCACAGTTTTGCAATCACCTATTCGGTCTTAAAATTTTTACACCTCATCCCTGCGAAGCAACAATTTACGTTGGATTTCAGCCTCAGGTCAAAATGTTGAAAAAAAAAAATTGATTCCCTTTCTCGTTTTTTTTGAATACCTCCCTGGATGTAATGGTCGTGGGAAAAAAAAAATGCTTTCTTTTTTTTCCCACAGTTACCTCTTTCATTAACAAAGTTTTTCAACAGGACGGGTTGGTCGAAACACAGATATTTCGGTTGAACCTCAGATTATCCCCGATTCCTCGAACCTCAGATTATCCCCAATTCCGTCCACCTGCCTGACAAAGCTCATGAACACACTCTTCAGGACCCGCTCGACCTTCTAAGCTCATGAACGAACCCTTCAGGACTTGTTCAATCATCTGCGGCCTCTACTTACGCGAGCTTTGGCTACCACATCCGCCCAAGGACTTGATCTCAGGATCTCAGGACATCGATCACAAAGGAACGACTGTCTCATATCAAATCTCATCAGGTCATGATCAAGAATGACGCAACGGATACCGAAGGACCAAATAAGCGGTGGCATACATAATCGCTGTCCTCGTCAAGATCTTCCCAAATCTTTCTTCTTTTGCTTTGTTCGAATACTCCGATTTCTCCTACTGTGTTCCTCCCTCTTTTGCTTGTCCACTTTCTTGCCCTCACATTCTGGCTCAATTCCCTTCATACAACTTGTCCACCCTGGTCTTCTACGTGCTTTTCTGTCTCCTACGGTCATCTTCATTATGCCTTCGAAATCGCAGCCCCCTCAAAACGGAAAGGTTGGTCAGGTTTCCAAATGCAGTTTCAATCGATGTGCTCCCGCTGACAAACCCTGTTCAATTTGGTAGCATCTGTAGGCACCTAGTGTAAGAGTTCGATGCGGATTTGACAATCTACGCAATTTAGAGTAAGATGACTCGACACCTGGACAGACAGGTGGATAGATGAGCTCTAAAGATCTCGACTGGCTGCCAACGCTCGTGCTCATAGCGTTTCGGTCGCACCGTCCGGTAAAACTTCCAAAGACAGCCCAAAGTTCGACCGCATCGATTATCAGACCATCATTACATACCTTTCAAAACCCACAATTCGTAACGCCCTTTTCGGGGGTGTCAGTCAAACTCGCATTTCTGGTATGCCGATGAATCCTTCAGCCCTGTTGAATCCCCTAGCAATCGAGATCAACAATGATTACAACATTCGACATAATACGACGAAGATGCGATTAAACGGCCGCGTGTTGCACTTGCGTC